TTGGCAAGCCAACGATCCTCAACCCTTCCGCGTCGCCAATCCCGCTCACCATTTCCACGGCGTTCCACGTCACCTGGCCAACAATCAACCTTTGCGGACGTCCTTGCAGGAAGATCGCCTAGATCCACAAGCCCGCGCCGGGGAAACTAAGAACAGTGACCTCTGGGGGTAAGGCTGCTGTTGATCGACCGTTACAAGACCCTCCCCCGATTGGCCTGCCGACATCCGACGACATTCCTTCACCGACGTGTGCCATCGACGACAAACGGGTCTCTGCTCGTATCTCTGGCCTTGTTGTCAACCACCCGCTGACCGCTCTGGTAGATACGGGTGCCGCTTATTCTGTTATAAGCGCTGACCTAGCTGCACAGCTAAGAAAGGTAACGACACCTTGGGGACATGGAACCAACCTCCGGACTGCGGGAGGTCACCTATTGACACCGCTAGGAATGTGCACTGCCCGCCTCCGAATCCGTGAGTCGACGTACATTGTTTCCTTCGTTGTATTGCGCGAATGCTCCCAAAACCTGATTCTCGGAATGGATTTTCTCCGCGAGCATGGAGCCAATATTAACCTTCGTGACCTCCTCATAACGTTATCTAACGACCATACAGCCCTGCGAAAGGATGCAGTTGCGCCGACCACAACACTTCGAATTGCTGACGACACCATCGCACTGCCGCCGCGAGCCAGTATGTTGGTAACTGTGGAGAGCGACTGTGACAACAAGAGTAGTGGCATCGCGGAAACTAACCTCTCGGTGCTCTTGGCTCGGCAGATTTGTGTCGCGCGTGCTATCGTCAAACTGAAACATCGGAGGACTCAGCTTCTGATCACGAATTTCAGCGGCCAGTACCAACACTCGGCAAAGCGAACAGCAATCGCGAACTTTGAAGCCATCGATGACGAAGAATGTTCCACTATCGCTCCGATTGCCACTGCTGCCGAAGGTAACACTGCATTAGCCAGTACAGTTGACGTGAATTGCCAGCTATCCTGTGCGCAGCAACAGCAGATACGCATGATTTTACGTACGTACAGTGATTGCTTTGCGTCCACCTCCAAAATCAAGCAGACCCCAACCGTGAAGCACCGCATTATAACGGACCCTACCGAACGGCCTGTACGATAGCACGCCTACCGCGTGTCGCAAAAAGAACGAGAGGCAATACGTTTTCAAGTGAAACAGATGCTCGACGACGACATCATCCAACCCTCGAACAGTCCATGGGCGTCACCCGTCGTACTTGTTAAAAAGAAAGACGGCACTCTTCGATTTTTCGTCGATTACCGGAAGCTCAACAAAGTGACGAAGAGAGACGTCTACCCTCTCCCACGCATAGATGATTCACTGGATCGGCTTCCACATGCCCGATATTTTTCCTCAATGGATTTACGCAGCGGCTGCTGGCAGATCGAGGTCGATGAACGTGACAGGGAAAAAACAGCATTCATAACTCCCGATGGCCTCTATGAATTTAAAGTGTTACCGTTTGGATTGTGCTCTGCACCGGCAACGTTCCAAAGGATGATGGACACCGTCCTGTCCGGTCTGAAGTGGGAATCCTGCCTCGTGTATTTAGACGACGTCGTTGTTTTTTCCAAAACATTTGAGCAACATTTACAACGACTTCAGTCCGTCTTCGTCGCTATTCGATCCGCAGGGCTATCTCTAAAAACGGAGAAGTCTCATTTCGGCTACGAAGAACTAAAGTTCCTTGACCACCTTATTAGTCACGATGGCATTAGACCAGACCCAGAAAAGACCATGGCGAGCTGTTGCTGCATTTCCTCCACCTTCGAACAAACGGGATTTTCGCCGGTTTTTGGGTCTCTGCGCCTACTACAGGCGCTTTGTCCAGAGCTTTTCCAACATCGCTGAACCCCTTACCCGTTTAACGAAGGAGTATACTCCTTTTGTATGGGGTCCAGAGCAGAGAGCCGCTTTTTCCCAGCTTCAGCAGTGCCTTCAGAGTGAACCCTTACTAGGGCACTTTGATGAAGATGCCACCACCGAACTTCACACTGACGCAAGCAACATTGGTCTTGGTGCAGTACTCGTCCAGTGGCAAGACGGCGCTGAACGTCCCATCGCTTATGCTAGCCCCATTTTGTCATCTGCGGAAACTAACTACTCGACCACAGAGAAGGAATGTCTTGCTGTTATTTGGGCGATAACAAAGTTCCGACCGTATCTCTATGGCCGTCCATTCAGAGTAGTTACGGACCATCATGCCCTCTGTTGGCTGGCCAATCTCAAGGACCCTTCAGGGCACCTCGCGAGTTGGAGCTTACGCCTTCAAGAATTCGAGGTTACAGTCGTCTACAAGTCGGGCCGCAGGCACACTGATGCTGATTGCCTTTCGCGCGCACCCCTCGCGATGACATCGAGGGACGATGATACCGATGGCCATTTTCTTTGTGCAGTCAGTGAATCTGACTTGGCCCAACAACAGTGGAATGATTCAGAGATCCAACAACTTATCAAATACCTTCAAAGTCGCAGCTCGAGTCCACCATCGGCATTCGCACGTTCAGGGTCATTTTGTCTCCGCAACGACATCGTCTACAAAAAGAACTTCGAACCTTATGCGACTGAGTACCTCCTCGTCGTTCCACCTGGGCTACGTGCTGACATTTTATCTGCCTGCCACGACGAGCCTTCCTCCGGCCACCTAGGATTCGCACGTACCCTTGCCCGGATTCGGACTCGCTACTACTGGCCAAAGCTCACCCAGGATGTCAAGCATTACGTTAAAACGTGCAATCATTGCCAGCGCCGTAAAGCCCCACCTGTGCGCCCTGCTGGTTTACTGCAGCCTGTTGCACCCCCGTCACAACCGTTTGAACGAATCGGCATGGACTCTCTTGGGCCCTTCCCGAAGTCACATGATGGCAACCGCTGGATCGTAGTCACTACTGACTATTTAACGAGGTACTGTGAAAGGAAAGCCCTACAACGAGGCACCGCCAATGAGGTTGCGTATTTTTTCATCAACAACATCGTTCTCCGCCATGGAGCACCAACAGTTCTTATAACTGACCGTGGAACAGCCTTTACAGCCCAATTGATGCAAGACGTCACGAGACTTAGTGGAACAGCTCATCGCAAAACAACCGCATACCATCCACAAACCAACGGTCTGACGGAGAGATTAAAAAAGACGCTCGCTGACATGCTATCTATGTACGTCGACCGTGATCACAAAAACTGGGATGCAATTTTGCCATACGTAACGTTCGCTTACAACACTGCGGTTCAAGAGACTACGGGTTTCACTCCATTCCGGTTGCTTCACAGCCGAGAAGCAATTAGGATGCTTGATGTCATGCTGTTGCGTGACACGACCGATATTACTACTGATGCGAACGACTTTATCCGGCTCGCCGACGCGGCTCGCCAGCTCGCACTCGAGCGGATCCGAAAACAACAACGAATCGACTCGCAGAGGTACAACTCCCGTCATCGCCACGTCATTTACCAACCCGGTGACCTGGCCTGGCTGTGGATCCCCGTTCGCAAAAGGGGCCACTCGGAAAAGTTACTTCACCGCTACTTCGGTCCCTATAGAGTACTACGGCGCCTCACAGATGTCAACTACGAAATTCTGCTTGAAGACACAGCTCAGCGATCTCGACGTTCCCCGCAGGCCGACATTGTTCATGTGTCACGGATGAAGCCACACTACCCCCGAGCCACCTGACACTGCTTCATCACGCGTCTTTGTGCGTGTAGCGACTACTTTAACTTTTAATCAGCATTGGTCATCGGGGTGGTACTTTTTTTTTCGAAGGGGGGGGGGGGTAATGCCACAGGCATGGTACGAGGTTTAGCCATGCCAATGCGAGTATGTGCCATGGTGTGAAAGAAGAAGAGGACAGTTGGTGTGCTCGTGCTCTAACGTTCGGTTCGGCTCGACGTCCAGTGCTGCTCCTGTGAACAGACGTTGTGGTCGCTCTGTGATCACGTGACAATATGATTATGAGAGACGCCGTAGTGGAGGGCTCCGGAAATTTTGACCACCTGGGGTTCTTTAACGTGCACCTAAATCTAAGTACTACACGTGTAATATACTGAATAAAATTAGGAAGGAAAAGACAAAAGAGACCACTCATATTTACACCCATCGCCGTTTTATTCATTTATTTGTTAGAGTTTGCAGCTTCCACTTCTTAGACTTGTTGTCCGGGTCCGAAACTTTGTTGTTCAATCGCCGGCAAAAGTTCTTCAGCAGAATGTTCGTGCTGCACCACAATATATATTTGAGCACCACTTCACTTGCGTGTCCCTTTTCACAGACGTCGAAATCTGAAAGCTCTTCGTCGCTGAGCAGTTGCAGTGTTAGTTCTGTGGCCACTTAACGTTGGTTTTGAACTTTTCAAAATTCGGCACATTTGGAAAGCTCTTCCACAACAACGTAATTATGAGCCACCGCATTTACAGCTGGCATTGCTGGGTAAACCAGCCCTCCCCTGTCAATTTCTTTGACAAGACTCTACATGCGATTTTCCGGAGAAACTGCGACAGTCTTGTCAATTGTGAGGAGCTCTCTGCATTTGTCATATTTTAACCTCTTCACAGCGATGTGCACCGTGTAACCAGCAACATAGGTAACCACTGGAATGACATCCTTAAGTTTTGATAGCGCCTCCTGGGTCACAACAACGTTGAATTTTCCACTTGGCACTGCTGCCTGCGTTTGGAGCTCTTCCCAATTTTGATTTTGGTCGTTGTCGATTGCGGACGCCGTGCTGATTTGTGGTAGTGTGGTTTGCAGTCGCAACTTGTTCTCGCACTTGTAAATCTGTCTTACGGACAAATGATACTGCGAGCCAGCGAGTCGTCGGTAACAACCAAAACGTTTTTCCAGAAGGTCTGTTTGGAACTACCCAAGAAGCAAAAAGGACATCTTGAGCTCCTCAAAGCAATATGCGCAGATTTCAATGAACGCCCGAGTCGTCTGAATAAGAGCCTCATGTGTCTCATCATACAACTTACAGGCATCCGCTCTGCTTTCCTTCCACTCCTCCAACCAGTCCAAAAAATCGTTCAAGAAGAAAACCTTGGGGTCAAATGGAGAAGGGTAGACTGGCTTTTGCAAGTCATCCCTTAGTCTCAGTCCTTTGAAAGGAGTCTTTACGTTGACAACCTTCCACCATCTCACTATTACATCAATGAAACTGGCAGTTTCTTCGTAGTGCTTGAGGTTGTGCTTGGCTCCAATGACTCGAAGTGCATTCGGTCCGTACTCGCTGAATACCTGCAAAACAGGTTTAACATCCTGTCTCTCGATGTCTGTTGGGGAAACAGCTTTTCTGGACAAAGTGTAGCCGTACCGGAGTAACTGCTCACTCTCTAAATTATATGCGTCTTTAACTGTCTTGAAATACGCATACTGCATGCGCCGCTGCCCCGTTGTGCTTGGTTCGAACTGAGGTAACCAGAAACACTGGTCATTTTGTTTTAACCAGTTGTTGCGCACGCACTTCAGTAAATGCACTGGGTCGATGACGAAGAACAATGGCCTGTGGGGATCTGATGGGTGCGGAAACACGAAATCATTTGCCAGTGATTTTTTTTTTTTTTTGAAATGGCTTGAGGGGCCTTGCTCACCGAATACTTAAACGGCAATTGCGCTTCGATTCACGGCGTTGTTGTTGGTCACGTCACACATTACTTTGTATCCAATTTTTTTCTAAGCCGCGAATGACATCTCCTAAAATGTTGTGCAGAAATTCTCTATTAGCCTTTTGAACGGGAACAATGTGCGCTACCTCCTTAAACTTACACATGAGGCTGCGTACCATAAATACAAATGCACTATTTGCTGCTTCTGTGTTGTACGCGATACCAGCGATTTTGCCCCCCTTATAGTCAAAAAATGGCTTTAGATGAATTTCGTCCACCATCAAAGTCACGTAGCGTTGCTGCTCATTCAACTCGGATATCTTCTTGGCCATGTAGCGGAGGAATGTATTGTCTTGATGCTCTAGTTGGGGGTTCATTCCGAAAGACGAACATATTGACCTAATGGTTCTTGGGTGTGGCATGATGATGCTCCCGTGACTGCGCATGTACTTGTACGCGTGAGGCGATATAGTAAATAGTATGCAGCAGTACACCATAAATTCTACAGAGTAGCGCCGTCGTTCTTTTTTTGTTGACATTAACTTCACTTGCTCAGCGAACAGTTGAATGATCGGGGTGTTATCGCTTTCTTGTGCTGTGTATAGTTCGTTCAGAAGAGAAGCGACAGTCTCGAAGATGTCTGCGGTTGAGTTTTCAGAGCTTGACCTCTGGGCATTGTCGAACCCCTCCACTCCTTCCAGAAATTCCAGCAGCCGTCGTTTGCTGTCGATCACGGACGGAACTACCATTCTGGACCCGAGCCGCTTCACTGATGCTTTTGCGACGTTTACCGTAAGAGTTAGGTCGGTTTTTACAACAGAGTACTTAATCCAAGGAGCGTCATCATTACAAATGTGAGCCAAAATGACGTGGTCACTGCATTCGATGACATGCCAAAATTTCAGCTTCTCGCCTCGAACGAAGTTCGCGACATCTTTCAAATCGCAAAGCTTATCTGCTTCTTCCTCTTTTTTGGCAGTGAGAATTGATTCGGCGAGCACTTTCTCAAGGGAAGCGGCCTCTAAGCGCATTCGCTTGCTCTCTGGGTCCTCTCTTCTAGAGCTTTCTATAGACAGGTAGCGTGGGCAATCAGGGAATACCGTCGGTACAGCCTCAGCTCGAAGCCGCAAACGTGAGAGCGGTGCGGTCACTGTGCGGCCGGTGGCTTGGTCAATATAGCTTGTTTCCCGAACGATGTCTTCGGCTTTAAAGTGACGTTCGCACACCTAAACAAAAGAAACATATCCTAGCATCAGTACGGCTACCTCGTAGCAGCAACAGTACATTCAGGGCTTTGCGTGACGCGTTTAGGCGTAACGTGCTACAAACTACAAGGCTCGCCACGCAACGGTAGGAGCAACCCCCATGAGAAAATTATAAAGCATTCAAAATTTCTTACCCTGGCATTCGCTGACACGACCAGGTTTTCACGTGGAATGGCACTTATCCACGCTTGTCTTGCTTCGGCGGCTTGAGGGAACGAAAAAACGTGCACCTTGGGGCCTGTCTTGTAATTGCTGTCGCACCATGGCACATAACACTTTCCTGGCATTTCGGCGCTGATTATAACTCTGCACGAGCCTGTTCGCCACACATAACACGCGATAAACACTTAGGTCACTCGCCGTTGCCCAACTACGCACAGAAACGAATATCCAAGTAGCAACGTGCATCCGCGCCACGAACGCTCACAGCGCGTCCAAACGTGCCCGCCGCGCCGAGGCTGCCGAGGCCCCGCCGCTTAGGGGACCAACGCCATCTAGCGGAGACGTGGGACTGGGCCCCTTACTGATGACGTATATTCACGGCCCCACGGGAGCCCCCCGGCCTTGAGTCAGTCTCGGTGGCGTTGCCTCAGCGCACTGCCTGTCGAGCAGGCGCTCTCTATGCGAAAGGGCGTCTGCTACGCATGAGCAAGGCAGGAGGCGCCTCGTTCGAAATGCGAGTGCAAAGGAGAGGAGATTGAGAAGAAACGCAAGTGGAGGAGGCGAGTATCACTACTTTGCGAAGTTTATGGGTTTTAGGATTGCCTCGACGCGCGCGCCTCCATTCTTTTAGATGCGGAAGCATCTTATACTCGCGCCTTGTAGTGCGCCGTCCGCGCCGTCCGCACCGCTTCTCGAACATTCGACAGCTGACGCGCGCGCATGCGCCGTCGCGCCGTCGCCCACTCTTCCACCATCTGTGCATCCCTTCCTCCTCTACACACCGCGCGCGCTTCACTCCTCCACCATCTGTGCACCCTTCCTCCTGTACACACCGCGTTCGACATCTACAATTCTCCTGATTCTCCAGTGGACGCGCATGTGGCGTCGCGCTTCGAGAACATTCAACAGCTGACAGTGCATGCGCCGTCGAGCTGTATATATACTCAAGGTCGGCGCTCGCTCGCTCAGTTGCCGCTCGTCGGTTGGTTTGTACGGCGCGTCGACGTCCAAGGTCGCCGTGAAATGAATTCCAACGAATCCACAAACACAATGATCGACGTCCCTTCGACCAGCGCCGCCCTTTCGCATACGTGTGTACGTGTTCACTCATTTAACACCCCCTCCTACAACCACGTTAACCAATTTAGCCATCGACCCAAGTAAGTCGCAATTTAACACCCCATTTCACAACCACGTTAACCAATTTAGCCATCGACCCAAGTAAGTCGCACTTTAACACCCCGTTAACCAATTATATGCTCCGCATCCTCCTCAGTGTTCCCCCGAGGGAAGCTGCGGGCAATTTTTTTTTGCGGTCTTTTTTTTTTTTGAAAGGGTTGACGTCGCTACAGTGAGCTAGAAGAAGGTAGTGGGCTTGCTGGGGTCCCCTGCTTGACGCCGGGTATGTCACAGGTGTTGTGGCGCCACCAGCGACTTCGATGGAAATTTAGGAACCATCTAAACTCCCTAAGAAATGAAACAAACCTAGAGCAGATCTTTATAACTACAGCTCAAGGTGCTAGGCTAGAAGGGGACGAAGCTATTGAATATATAAGAACAAGGGTGACAGAAAAATTTCAACAAAGAAGTGCCTTATGCCCCGCAATAGACAGGGATGGATCAAGTGGCACAATAGCTCCATTTTCACAACGAGAGTGGGAAAGGGCTGAGAAGAGGGTTCTAATTAGTACGTCAACAGGCCCAGATGGCATTTCAATTATGCTGATAAAGAAATTGGGTCCGAAGTCTAAACAGACTTTGAGAGAGGCAGTGAGCAGAACAATAATCAATGGTGAAGTCCCTGATGGATGGAAACTTAGCAGGATGAGCATGATCTATAAAAAAGGGGGGACAAAGATGACATAAACAACTACCGTTCTATAACAGTGACATCAGTGGTCTACAGGCTGGCGATGCAGATTATAAAGGAAAGACGGCAGGCATGGATAGAGGATGAAGGGGTGCTGGGGGAACTTCAGAATGGGTTTCGGAAACACAGAAGGTTGGAATACAATCTATTCTCACTGACGCAGTGCATCGAAATAGCAGAAAAGGAACACAAGCCCCTGTGGCTAGCATTTTTGGATATCAAGGGAGCATACGATAGTGTGGTTCAAGAGGACTTGTGAGGAATACTGGAGACACTAGGTGTGGAATATTGAGTCACTAATCTTTTAAAGGATATCTACAAAAGTAAGAAGGTAGTTATAAAATGAGAAAAACAGGTATTCGACCCCACAGAGATAAAACATGGGCTTAGGCAGGGGTGTCCTATGTCACCCTTGTTATTCATAATGTGCCTTCAAGGATTAGAGGACAAATTAGAGGGGAGCGGACTTGGTTTCAAGCTCTCTTTTATCAAACAAGGAAAACTCATTCAACAGGCATACCAGCATTGATGTACGCAGATGATATAGTGCTAATGGCCGAAAACAAGGAAGATTTGCAGAGATTGATTGACATCTGCAGTAATGAGGGAGATAAGTGAGATTTCAGCTTGAGTAAGGAAAAATCAGCAGTCATGATTTTTAATGATAACGAAGGTAGTGAGCTTAGAGTACAAGAGGTCACGCTAGAGATAACAGATAAATACAAGTATCTGGGCGTATGAATAAGCAATGGGACCGAGTACCTAAGGGAACACGAAATATACGTGACGACTAAAGGTAACAGGAATGCAGCAGTGATGAAAAATAGGGCACTGTGAAATTACAATAGGTATGACGTTGTGAGAGGAATATGGAAAGGGTTCCTGGGCTGACGTTCGGCAATGCGGTCTTGTGCATGAGATCAGAAGTTGAAGCAAGATTAGAAATTAAGCAACGTGGAATGTATTCGAATGTATTAAGTTGACAGTTTGCGCTCGTCCGTCTCTCGTGTTTATCTTGCGCCAAAAGCTACGTTAACAATGTATGTACATGGTTTTGACTTTGTGCGCGTACTTGTTAGACCTTAACGCGATCGAACGTTGAGCGAACTGGTAACCCCAGATGGTTTCTTGGCATTTGAACTGTTCTCATATAATTCCTTTTATTCTCGATGTGTGCTTGGAAATAGTACTTTCGCTGTCGCGGACATCTCTTGTCGTTTTATTTTACGCATAAAGGTGTGGTTATAAAATTCTTGCGTCTATAATTAGCTGCACAATTCACTCCTTGTTGTGTTTTGTTGCGGAGCAGGAACTACAAATTGAAAAGTCGGTGTTCGTGCTCACATCGCACACAATAGTACGTTTTGACTGCATGTATCGGCTCGTACCATTTAGCTGCTACATTCCGTATACATTCGCCCAGTAATATATGCACAGTGACTAAATAATATGCAATAATATGACTAAATAATATATACCGACTTCTTTAGAGACTGTCACGTAACTTATCTCGGGAGCGCTTGCATCAGATCTAATTGGGAGAGTGTGGAGACGGGCGTGGCACAAACAACATACATTTTATCACCCGAAACGTAAAAAAAACCAATACACACAATTCGTGTTACAGCACTCAGGACAATAACACTCAAAACTGAAACATCACTCAACATACCTCACAAACAACCAATAACTCGAGAATCCTCAATATTGATACGCGCACATGGGCAAACCAGAACTGACTATATCTCAGTCCCAATCTTTTGCTAGCCCTAGCTGCTAGCCCTAATCCAATATGTCGTCATCACCATCGCTCGCTCTTACTGTTCACGTCGACTTCTCGACGATGCCGCGTCATGGTCCATCACGTACGTCGTCGACCTTCTCCTCGTCCTCTTCGCTGTGGCCCTCAGTTGGTCCCGCCGGATGAACCACTAGTCGTCGTCGCCGGCGTCTCGGACTCCGTTGAGTTCTTCGGCGTCGCTAGGCTAGGCTTAGACTCGCCATGGACTCTGTTGGTGGCAAGTCTGCTCTGCTGATTGGTGTGGGCTGTCGTCGTCTTGACGTTAACTGGGAGAGCGGCAAGTCGACCAGGAACTGCTGGGCACGACGCGGCAAATCCGGGCAGCCTCGCTCGGGACCTCCGAGGTTGACGGCCACTCCCCGAGCCTCTCACGCCGACATCCTCACAACCGGGCGGTCATCATGAGCTGCTGCCTCCGTGGTAGCGACGCTCATTCCCCACGTCCTTGTTGCTGTACGTCCCAACTCATCCTCTGGAATTTTTCTTCTCGGGTCACGTGCCACGAGCCCTTCCACCACCAATCTCTTGCGTATACGTGGCTGGTGCGCGTGTACTCGGGTGACTCTTCTGTCCTCGCACACCGCCGCCGCACCTCCGCGTTCGGCACGCGTCTGGCGCCTTTACTCATGACAGAGATACATGCAAGTGCGTCCATACATGCGTAGTGTTTAGGATTTATTTGCAGTCAAAAGCGTCGACTTTTATTCATTGGTGCTTTTCTTTCAGTGGATCCGATGGCGCCCACGAGAAGAGTGGGACGGAAAAGCCAGCGCCCTCAACGTGCAGACTTTTTGCATAGTGTTTCACCCACACGCGTGTGGTCCTGGGGTTGGTTGAAAGTGAACTACTGTGGCAATAACACCTTACGATCGCCTGTATACAGCTGTACAAAACCTCAGTTGCATATGCATAGTTACGTCCAAGCTTATCTAAAACGGGTTTGAATGCCGGTGGTGCACGTGCACCTGATAGCTAATAGGGGAAATGCAAGGTATAAAATCATAAGCTGCCTGGGCGACCCTGCAATTAAGAATGGGGCACAAATGTCGGGCTTTGACATATGCTATTTTAGTTCATTATCACTCCATATATAACCTAGCCGTCCAATCTGCGGGTGCTGGCTTCATATTGTAGGGGCTAAGCTCCTTTTAAAAAACCAGCGCGTTCCAGGTGTCGCGTCAAAAATGCACACAAGGCGCCATCTAACGAGCTAGTTTTTTTTAAAAAATTGGTTCCAAATCTGCATGGTACACCGCAAATATCGTCGTCTTGCGTCGGGAGAGAGTGAACAAACTATTTATTTGATGTTCTGCGAAAGAAAATCGCTGAATGTTATTCTGTAGGCGCTGTGTTAGAGTGCCTCGAGCGTGTAGCGGAGGCGAACGAGCGCATCGAGGATGGATGGATGGATGGATGCTATGAGCGTCCCCTTTATAACGGGGTGGTGACAAGTATGCCACCAGGCTCGACAAAAAAAAAATCTTTTTTCTTTTTTTTTATGTTGGCCTAATGCCTCTACTTCGATACATTCTATCTTAATGGAAAAAAGGTAAATTTTCAGCTTAAGTTCTCTGCCATTTACGGCACACTGTCCATATTTTATTTTTCCAATATTTATTTTTGTCCTTTCTCTCTAATTTTCTGCCACCAATACTCTAACCGTCTCTTACTTATTTCAATCGCGGGTGTGTTCAGCTTTTCATTGTTGTCCCTAAAACCCAAGCCTTCCTGTAGGCTCGTGCCCAAACGTACACCTGGGTGGATATCTCCACATTCAATCAGAACATGCTCCGCCGTTTCTTTATCAGAAGGCAGACAGATCAAAATTTTTCCGTCGAAGGTCCCCAAGAAAGACTGTCGTCTTTAAAAATCCTGGTTGAATCACGGCCGGGCTAGACTGCATCTGCGCGCTAGCTTCTTACGGCCTTCGTATTGGGTATAGTACAGGCCTCTCACAGCTGCTTTGAGAGGGGCGTTGCGACCCTGACCCTCCTCTACCACTAGCAGAGCCCACAACGCCGACACATGAATTCGGGCGCGCTTCATCACTCACCGCACATTGTAAAGCAAATTTCCTAGTCGTTGAAAACACAGAAATAGTTAATGACATTGTTCATACCCGATGATGTAGGGCTTGGACCTGTATACCTTTAAAGAATGCACTTTACTGTCTGTGTCTGAAGCCCCGAAGTGCGAGCATGGTCTTATAGCCTCTTGGAGACAGAAAGCGCCGTATCATATACTCCCTAACAACTTCGTTTGAGTACGCTGAATGCTTTTTTCCATCACACCCTATTCGATGCAAAAGAAACGCGGCCTTTTTTTCTCCTTTCTGTGCATATGCCGCGATCTTCTTAACAAATTCGTGGTGCTTGCTTTCGCGATAATATTCGGACGCATTTTCCTCTTTTTTCAACAATTGCGGCTCCTCCTCACATCTTGATGGTACGGCACTTGCGAGCGCAATCTTCCTATTACAGGTAGGTAGTGACCCGCGTGATGAGCGTCGCTGTTCATTGTTTACGTGCGAACACCTACTGCTTCTTGTTTAGTGAAAGCATCTTGTGAAGCAACATCCAGTCTGGTTCGTTGGTCTCCGCTTTTCGCTGCCTTGATGTTTGTCGTAGGGGCGAAGCTCGTAAAGCACAACTGTTGCGAGGCTTCTATGCACTCGAAATCAAGTAGGAAGGATAGTCCTCGAATAAAGTAGGCGTGAAGTCGGGAAGAAGTTTTCTGATGCGGCACGCAGGCACATATGGTCTTCGCCGCGGAAGTGTCTGCTTCATACGACAGTCTATGCAGACTTGTCGTTGTTGATCAGGTTGACTCTCGCAATATTCTTTTGTCATTTATCGCACATCTCAATATTGCTTGGGAACTGGTGAAAAGGAAAAAAATCACACCATATCCACGAAGGGAATGACGATGAGTGGGACGAAGCCTCCGTCCATCCGTTCATGCTTGCTTCCGTTCCTCCGTCCGTTCATCTCTGTGTTCATCCATGCGTCTTTCCACGCATCCATATTCATGCGTCCTGTCCGTCCGCGCGTCTGTCCGTCCATCTATTGAAAACAGTCTAAGTGCCGCCGTCTCGCGTCTTTTCATCATATTATCACGCCGAAATGACAATGAATCGACGTGCACGAAAGGATGAGGGGAAAGTCGCAACAAAACTTCATTTGGTTGGACTGACCTGCGCCCGAAGTAAAACAAAACAAATGCTGCAAGCTGCGGATCACGAACAAGTGTCATGGCACCCACGGTGGTGTTCGCATCAAGAAAAGGGGCGTTTTCAAAATGAAACGTGCACAAAGATAAGCACGCAGACCATGCGTTCTTGGTGGAGCGCGCTTCAGATACGCATTTGCTACGCGCGTCACGAGCAATGCGATAAGAACATACATCACGGAAGCACGCCTCACGGCTTAAGGAGCTTCGTCCCTAAAACACCAGGTGTTTTCTCCGAACGGGACTTGCAATACGGAACCCAGCAATAAACAATCACACAGCTAATGTATATCCATGTCAATATTGTGCGTACTGAAGGTTGCACGACCACTTTCTATGGTCGAGAAATCACTGCAGACTGAACACTGAGAAAGCACCGAACAAAACGCAGCCACGGTGAACAAATCCCAGCATAACGCAAGTTACTCTAGAGAGAAATAAGAATTGACAACTACCTCCTTGTAGCACTAAGCCACAAAAAATTTATGCAGATTACTTAGAAAAAATCTGTTTATTTGCAGAGAATTTCGAATGTTGTCACTTTCACTTCCTAAACATGCTCTTCCACGAACTCGAAAGATAGCGCAGAACTTATTTGCGTTAGATTTTTAGTTTTCAGGGCAAGCGGCTTGGGAGCGTAAGCAACTGCGTCCTTTACATTCTTCACGGACGTGGCTTGCAGTACAAAGGAATGCAAAAGATTTTGGGGTTCCCGGAATGATTGTTTCCAGGTGGTGTTTGCATCTTGAGGATGGAGAGCACCACTCTCAGGGCGTGTCGTCCGAAGGGTTATTTAGGCAGCAAGATTCACCCCTTCTGTTTGTTTTTTTTTACTTTCTTCCTCCGTATGCGCAGTTACTTTTAACCATTAGAGTTACAACACACGTACGTATTTCAAAGATCTGTCAAGCTGCAGACCGCAGTTTTTAGTCCTGAAAACCACTTTATTGTATTTGGGAAAAAAAGAAATAGAAAATAGCTATAGCGAAGAGAAGGTGTGCTCGTCTTTTCTCCTAAAGAATCATGACACTCAATTTTCAACTATAATCTGTGTTATGTGGGCTGGTCCTTGTGCGTTGAAAAACAAAGCTGGCGGAATGTCAGCGCACACTGTCGTGCCGTTAATTCATAATCGGGCGAGCAGCCTAGTGGTCGGGCAACACTGGCGCGCTCTCTAGTCGTGACGTAACGAACCGTTTGCTCCGCGACTTTCTGCATGGTGTGCAGTACGGAGGGCGATTGTGTTTCATGGTCAGCTACACTTGCAACCGAGTTGTTTTAGCGTTATTCAACATGCCACTGGAACTGAATGACTTGCAGCGGTCGAAGCAATGCCACCACGTCGCCCATGCTGCGCTGTGGGGTGCCAGAACATACATAGCAGGGAGAGTACTGTGTCATTCTTCATGTTTCCTAAAGAGCCAGCCAAACGCAATGCTTGGGAGATAAACGTGCGCAAAAAGAACTGCTGTTCTGTGCTCGGCGCACTTCACGGCAGACAGCTACAATGATGACCAGCGTCTTCTCGGCGAGTTTGGTATATCAGTGAAAAAGCAGAGGCGGCGGCCAGACGCTGTGCCGACCGCGTTTTCGCACCGTTCCGTCCTCCAAGCAAAGGCTCGGGGTGCTTTTGAAAAGCGTTAAAGGAAAGAGGTAAGTGCATTTCTCGTTAGCTATAGCGTTGGCATCTGCGTTCGCCCTGTCTTCGACGCTTTCTTCGTCGCTCGAGCTGCTGGGGATGGGGTCGAAATCGAAATGCACAGCGTACACGACGTCGCCGCCGCTTATGCTGCTCGACGAATCATTGCCCGAATCGTGAGCTGATGACGGGGCCGACGACATGGCGATGGCACCGGTACCACTTCAGCACTGGCAACACGTGTGGCAAGCAACACAGGGAACACACTGACCGCGTGCCGAAGGTGCCGTTTGGTAGCAGACGACAGCACTGCTCCCATCGATTTGTGACGTCACGCACGACAAGGCAAAATAGCGTTCGCCGGCGGTCGGTGGAGTGTATAGCCGAAGAATTCTACGGCTTATTTTGGACTGAAGTAATCTCTCACAGTCCAGTTTTCACACGTGTGCAAGCATATTTGACTCTCTACCGTCGTTTTTTGCCGAAAACCGCAAATTGTTGACTGACCATGTCATGACCCCTTTAAGCGAACTCCGTAATGGCGACGAGGGTGGCGATTTGGGCTTGTTGGTATGGTTGCATGATGATGGATGGTAGCGCAGACAACGAACACGGACAAGAGAAGGCGCTGTGTTGTGTCTATGTGCCTTCTCTTGTCCGTGTTCGTTGTCTGCGCTACCATCCATCATCATGCATCCGTAATGGCGGCCTCGTTGTTCAACGAAACCAAGTACCAAACGTATTTGGACCTCTCTGCTTGCAGAACAAGTGCAGCGTTGTTTATCTCTTCCTCTCTGGTCGTTTACAGCACTTTATGCTTCCTGCATTATGCCTCGTTAGCCGATTGTTATTTTCAGCTTGTAATATCCTCGAGCACATGCATAACTACTTTATGCGGCGAGCCGTCTGATAACATTATTTTTTTTTACAGCGGATTTTGTTATGAGATCACAACATGGGTCTCGCGCAGCGGCGTAGTTGTCCGCCGCCGCCGCCGCAGGTGTCCGTAACCACACTGCGCAAAATTAGAAAGACCTAGTGCCACTGATACAGTGGGGCTTGAAACCGGGTCCGCTGGGTGCCAGCCCAGTATTCTACCGTTCAGACACGCCGGTGATGGGGACCTGTTGGCAAACTTGCCTTAGGCAGGCTTGATGCTGAGAAAGTAATCGCAATAATACGACTTATAAAGCCCTTTAAAACAGTGAAAGAACAAGCAGTCGTCAAACAATGCAAATAGCGTAACAAGTGGGTCATCCAATGCTCGAACCCATTACAAAAACATGTTTTTGCTCAGCTATTAACTCTGGTGGATACCACGCCTCTCACAAGAATGAGGAAAAAATAGCTCAGTAAATGCCAACCTACTACCCTAAACTTTTTATTATTATAATACCGTAGGGGACATCAAGCAAGTGCGCTTGCAGCAGTTACCCAATAAGTGTTTAGAAAATGTTCTGAAAGGCCGCTCTTCCAGCTTTCGTTGTGACTGTGATGTGCCTTCCGCGCAGGCCTGGCGTTTTAAAGACGATAGTCTTTCTTGGGAACCTTCGACGCAAAAGTTTTGGTCTGTCTCTCTGTGCATTTGTCTATTTGTCCGCGTTTAACGGTACCCTAAACGGCATTAAAGTGACCAAACAATACTAAAACCGGCCGACCCCATCCGCAGTGCCCACCAATATTGCTCAAGATTCAGCATTCATACTTGTGCGATTGTCAATTAAAAAAAAACAATTATTTCGCATATCTGAGGTACCATAACAACACGTCAATATTCTGTATGTGTGTCTCTTACTAGAAAAGGCATACATAAGTAATTCTTAGGACTGTAGCGTTTATCACACCGCGCTGACTATGCAACGCTTGCACGAAAAGGCAAGTGTTTCCAACGCTTTGTTAAGACGACACGGTGGTGGCACCTACCTGGCGCCTTGCGTTCTACACCTCACCACCTCCGAGATGGGCGCGCAGGGCACGCGCGCTTCGTTTTCAAACATAACTGCCAGATAGCGCTCATGTCTCACGTGTGACGTGACTTGATGCGCTCGTTAGCCTCCGCTGCACGCTCGAGGCACTTTAAAGCAGCGCCTCCAGAATACAATTCACCGATTTTCTTGCGCAGAACATCAAACAAACGTTTTTTTCGCTCTCTCCAGTCGCAAAACTATCGTATTTCGACGATATTTGCAGTGTAACATGCAGATACGGGGCAATTTTTTTAAAGGAGATGATCCGTCCTCTATGCCCGAATTATTTAAGAATCTCCCTCCCCCCTCTCCGTCGAGAACCCCATTCCGCGGTTTCACATCGCGTAAAATTCTCATGCCGTGTGCACGGCGCAAGCGATTCAAAGTCAGAGTCGCAGTGCCTGTACCGCCGACAGGTGGAAAAACATACTCGGAAACTTTCCCATTGCTTCCGCGATGGGTGAGAAGGCTGCAAAGAAAGAAGTGCGTGCAGGTGCAGTATAGCCCGGCCGTAGTACGACGGGGCCACTGGGCCATGTTGAAACGCATACGGAACGTTGCGCGATACGTTATCAGTTGTACCTGCAAAGCTTACAGCCCAGGAACATTGAGCTTACGAGCATTGCCGAAAGCGACAGATCGGGAGCGGTGACTGGAGAGCAGGAAAATTATGCTCTTGATGGGAAGGAAACTTTTCGCAGCAACTCACATTCGGATATTGCCGCTAAATGCCACTTGCAAGTCAAACAAGTTCAAAGTGACTTGAAGATACAGGTAAGTGCAGTGTGTTGGAATTGCGCGTGAAAGAGCTCGCCTCCGTTATTGTGGCCTGCACGTTATTTTGTCGCTTTAAATGATAATTATTGTCTGAGAATGTGACCAATTGGCGGCTCATTTGAGGACGTCATTTACGTTACCGGTAGTTCCAGCTTTTTGGGTTCACAGGTGAGATGCCGTTTCGTTTTGCGCTTTTGTTTTCGATGGCTGAACAGTGTCAAGAGCAGACGACTCGTGCATATTCAGTAATCAATGTTTTCTTAGTTCAGTTCACAGGTGAAAAGTTCTTTCATACACGATTTTCGTCGCGGTGTTACGTAGGAGTACTAAAACGGATAATTTTTACGCATCCGGTAGTTACGGCTCTCGTAGCGTGTTAACGTGCAGGTGAGAAACAGTTTTTCTTCGCGATTTTATTGGTAGCGTTTTGAAAATGATTCTCCTGATCAATCTTTGTTTCCTTTTCTTCGAAGTTGACAGCAAAGCGCGAGGTGTCCGCGTTAACCTGCACTTGCAAGGCAGGCGCGTGAGTCGACATTGCAAACAAGGTATTGCTTACTTTGGGCAAATGATGCCGACTCGCCATCGTCAACAGACTGATCACAAGCTGGGGGTCGGTCGTCATTTAAAAATGACACTTCAAGAAGCTCGTTGGGGAACTTTTCGGAAGTATGCATAAAAAAAAAAAACTTGGACCATCTTCCGCTAAAGGTAACCAAGCAGCGGTGGCTAACGCTTACACTGACGGCGACGTTGACGCTGGTGCTCATCAAGCGAAAGTGAAGTAAAGGCGCCCTTGACGGAATTCCGAACGCACGCTAGAGTGTCTACATACACGGGGTGGCCAGTGAACGGTTGTGCAGCGCGTTGGTTTTTTACAAGCACGGCGCTTCCTGCGTCCGCCTTGCGAGGGAAGAGAGGGGAGGGGAGCGACAGTTTTGCGGGTGTGTTCCTTAGCCGGCACGAAACGCGAGCATGCACAGTACGGAAGGACAGCGTTACACAGGCTAGTCAAAGAGCTGCTTCACCTCTAAAATGCATCCTTGCCATGTGTTGATAAGATGTGGTGTGCGCGAAAAGTGGCGAATGAGTTCGTCTGCACAATTTTTCTAGTACTTCCTTCTTGTTAGAGTGTCTAGTGTGGTTCATGATTGATATTGTGGGGTTGGACGTCCGAAGACCACCATATTATTATGAGAGACGCCGTAGTGGAGGGCTCTGGTAATTAAGACCACCTGGGGTTCTTTAATGTGCACCCAAATCTGAGCACACGGGTCTACAACATCCTCGCCTCCATCAAAAATGCAGCTGCAGCACCTTAGCCACTAGACCACCGGGGTGGGGCATGTGTAGAGCTGTGTTCATGGAACTTTATTTAAACTCGCGATTCTCAGCGTAGTCTTACATACTTAAGCTGTAACGTGCTTGCAAAGTAAGAGTTTTGTTGTGTTTTGCACATCCAGCTTTGCCGCCACTCTTTCTCGTATGGTCTACGGGAATAATTAAAAGATGATGTTTGGGTGGCACGCCTTTCCTGTATGCCACTTCACACGCATTAGTATCATTGTCTCCAGCGCTTTTATGGGCGCCCTTCCGCGCACTGAACCGCGGTAGCCTTCGCCATCCTACTACCCGTTTTGCAACGAGGCCACTAGGGCGGTGCAACGTGTTAACACTAACTTCAGCGCTGGAAGTTTATAGCATTACCGGGTCGGTCGTTTTTCCATCCAGGGAAACCAGCATATCCACGGATTGAATTATGAGCTTTCAAAGCATCCGTACGCCAATCCGTGTTCTAGTGTGATAGGAGTGGATGGACAGACGGTCGGAAGCCCAGAAGAACAGATGGACGCACGCATGGACGTAGGTATCTATGGACGAATGCTTCGCCTCACTCATCATCACCTACTCCATGAATATGCTGTGATGTTTAATGTTTCACTAATTCATTTGCTTTGCTAGATGCAATGCACGCTCATATTAAGAAAGACGGATACATTGATATTGCATGTACAAATATTGCGTGGCAAAATAAAAAAAAAACTTGAGCTGGAATACCGTCAGACGTATACAAAAGCAAATTCTGTGTCCTAATGGTAGGTGCATCATTGCACCGCTTTTCGTTTCGACAGTCCAGTGAATCATACATTTCCATTACTGTTTTCTAATACACAGTGTTCCGCATGAATTCATAAAAAAAACGAACATACCCACCTGCAAAGTATGGAAGGGATCTAACTGGGCCAACTAGCCATCTTGCTGTATAGAAGTGATTAGTCATGTCTGCAGCTGTGGATCACTCAGCCGCAGCCAGCAGCTGAGTGACCGCGGCACCAGTCAGTATCGATACGTTCTACAACAGTTCTAGGCGCGATACATTCGTTTATTTTTGAGACGCGTGTCTACAAACTCATAACTAGACACATTCATGAGCAATTTTGCGTTTTTGAAGGCAACTCCAGACCAAAGTGCCTTTACTCGAGAGCAAAAGGCAGCGAAGCCGCGTGCTTACAGGGCGCGCATGGAGAAGTGGGCCAAGTAAAGGCGACCGCTGTAGCAGACGATGCACTTGTTTCCACTGTGAACAGAGCAAAGCCGAACGAGCGCATCGAGCAACTCTAAAATCAGCCCCAGGGTCCTATGGGAGTGTCCTCGCTCAGCTTTTTATATATTACTCATGCTTATGAAGCGTGGAAGCTTGGGCAAGTTGGTAGGACATAACTGAATGCAGGAACAGCGCAACCTAGAAGTAGTTACTTCGTAACTACGGAAGCGAAAAAAAAAAAACAAGGACAGAAAAAGAGCGCTGGAGCAGCGAAAAAGAGCAGTGCTCTTTTTCTGTCCTTGTTTTTTCGCTTCCGTAGTTACGAGGTAACTACTTCTAGGTTGCGCTGTTCCTGTATTCAGTTACTCATGCTTGTTCGTCAAGCTTCTTATGCTCGCGCCTTGTCCGTAGTGGGCAGTGTGTACACTGGTTCTCATTGCTCCTGCTAGGGACGCTGCTGTTCTCTGTCGCAGCTGCGCTCTCTCCTGTGAGTCACGCCAACAGCGCCCACACAGCTTCAGCACACTCGGCGCTGAGTGCTCTAAACATATAGGTGACCGCTAATAGAATGCCTTGGGCGCGTGCATCGAGGAACCCTAACCGCTAGAGGGCAGAGCCCGCATACAGTGCTCGCATTTGGCGCGCTTCCTTTCTCTTCGCTTGAAGCCCACTCGCGGAACACTCTTCGTTACCGCTTCGCGGCATGAACACCCCAGAAGACAAGGCAGCAGCGTGGCGGTCTCGCCGCCAAGATCACATTTTCCGCATATATAACAGCGCCGCTCGGGCCCTCCATTTCGAAAAACAATTCCCGCGCTTGACCAATCCGTCTCGTATGCTGTTACGACTGTCATCATTATTGAAGTCTTTCGGCCTTTGTGAACTGGACGAAAATATTTCGACGCACTTCAAGCAAGAATGTACCGTCAAGACTGGTTGATTTCCTGTCAGCAAAACGTGGACAAGAGATTCCAGGACCAGTTCGCGCAAAGAAAACGTATGAGCCAAGAAAGGCCATTGTGAGCTCGACTCTACGCAAGGCTTTAGAGGCAAAGAAGGAGGCAGTTGGGCCATCTTCGAAGTCACCGTTGATCTGGAGAGACCGAAACCAGCGTGGTATTTGCAGTTTAAGCTGAAAGGCAATACCCAAGCCGATTGTGGCTGCACCTTGCGAGGAGAAGCGAACTCCCGGAAATTCAAATGTAATTAATGCACACCTTATAGCAAACAACAAAGGATTGAATGTGTGGTTGAAGGAAAGGAAAAAGGCAATGTCTTCTGCAGCCCTTGCGGGAGCACACATCAGCGCCTCGACGACGAGGGATTAGTAGACCTCTCTTCCTTCCCCCTCTTTCCATAGGATCGGCTAAATAAAGGGGCATATTTTGACGATAAGCGGTCAGGCCACTACATTGTCCCTAACCGGACGCAGTCAGGCAAGTTTGGCACGTGTACCGGGAGCCGGTCTTTCGAACCTCGCTCAACTGCCGGAGGAGTTCTTGGAAACCAAGGTTATCTAAGATCATCGGACGTGCGCAAAATCCTAGTGACGTGTGCGAAACGTTGGTGCACTGAGTTTGTGACCATATTTCAGCATCATGTAGACTGCGCCCTCTCCACATGCATTGTGGGGTGTCTTTCCCCGTCTTCGTGGGTGGAGCACCTAGACCACCGAGTGCCGTATTGGCTGAAGCCGCGGACAATGCGCCCAGGGTCGGCAATGCGGCGCTATAATAGCGGAATACCTTTTGCGGCGCTATAATAGCGGAATACCTTTTGTATATTTTGAGTTCCCCTGTACAGTTCTTGACTTCTAGTTCATACTTGATCACCTCTTTTCGAATTCTCAGTTCCTACTATGTAAATAAATTGTTGCAGTTCATACGAGCGCTGCATCGGACTTGTTGGATGACGGGTCCTAGGACGGGGCCCCGCTACCAGAATGAGGCCAGTGGCACCTGGAGTCGCAACAACGCGCAGTGACGCAAGCTTGCTCATGATCAACTTCAGGTACCACTGAGCTCGTCTATTGGTCATTTGCACTATGAAGTACTACCTTGGCCTTGGGGTGATGCGGTTTTAGCCATGCAGTCCACACTTCCATTTTCCTGTGCTGCTCTCTGCCGTTTTGTGGAGCCTGTGACTGTCGGGAGAAGTAGTATTGTCAAAACGAAAGCCTACGATATAATATGGCCGGGCTAGACAGCATCTGCGTGCTCGAAGCGCGCGCAGGTGCATTCTAGCCCGACCATGGATATAAAGAGGCGGCGCGCTACTTTACTGTCAGGGGAAGGGTGCTTCTCGAACTGTGCTTCCTTTCCGTGCTGCTATGACACGTGCTCAAGGGGGTAGGGGGGGGGGGGTAGCCCCGCTTGGTCGTTGACTGTGTGCCGATAACGTATCGCTGATGTCGTGTGCGTTGACGAAGTTGTCGGAGTAATGGCGACGGGCTACGCCTTCCCCTCTTGATGACGGAAAAGGGTGGCGAGGCCGCGCAGAAAATTTGAAACCAACTAAAAGGGATGTTCTAATCCCCGGTAACTTCCTTACTATAGCATGTTCACAAATGTTTTTGCGGCAGCGTGTTAACGTAGCAAAAGGTCGCACATTTCTGTTCATAACAATTTTGGGGCCTCCAAATCGTTTACTGGCCCTTGAAAGGGACTCTGAAGACAACTATTAGGTAGACGTTGATTGTAGAAATAGTAATCCAGAAACCTCGTAGTGTTACTTTTGAGCCAAGGAAGGGCTTATTTTGAAATAAAATCACGTTTTAGTGGTCCGCATCTTGTTAGCGCACTTCAGTTACTCGCCTCAAGAAGCGGACCATCTCACGTCACTGAGCTTCGTCGATTTACACGTCTCGGATGCCTCCAGACGGCCCCGGATGCCGGCGCCGCATTCGTTTTTCTCGGGACCAACTGGAACCTTCGTTTACTGGTACGGCCTTGCTTAGACCATGTTCATTTTTCACGTGTCTGGCGGCCGGCAGGCGGCCCTGAATTATCCGAACGATTTCTTTCGGGCAGCTGGCAGACGACAGCGCGGTGCGCATGCCTGTGCGGCCATCTTATACTAGACACGGGCAATTTTTTATGTGCTCTTGCTCTGTCTTTGCTTTTCTGTCCGCTTCTCACACGTTTATTAACCTCGCAATGAGTGCGCACGAAGTTCTTGTCATCGGCGTTTTCAGCCACTTCGAGCATGTGCGTGTTCTCGAAGGTCGGGCAAACACGTGTTACACTCACCGTGTTACATTCACCGTGCTCCTCCGCTATCACACAGAAACAGCGGTGGAACGACCGCGCCGGCCTACGATGCGCACGCGCTCGAGTAGTTTGCTTACAATAAGTTGCATCACAACATAAATAGGTCTAATTCACTACCTATCTGCTGTTTAGGTTGTAATTGGGCCGGCATTATGGCCTGTGTCTCAGCTATGGAGGGAGCAGACGTCATAGCCTGGCATAGCAGACGCCACAGCGTATGCAACCAGCATCAAGCGCGCAGATGGCCCGAGGCCACTCGGGCTGGCTCAGGACATTTAGATCACGTGCATGTGACATAGCCGTCTATGAGCCGAGGCGTCCGCGGGCCGCCGGCGAGTGATCCGGGACTTGGTCAATCGATGATGCTCACTGTTGCTGTGCCCAATGTTGCGAGGCTTGACTGCGCTGCCACCGACACTAATAGCAGCAGGAGGAAAGCAGGGAGAGCCACAGCAGAAAAAACGGCCATCGATCAATTTCTTGTCATCGGCTCCGAGATGGCCGACGTATTTTAGTTTAACTGGGCCCTGCTAGATGGCAGGATCTGTCCAGTTTAGCTACGCGAAAATTGAATTTTCGAACCACTCGCGCCATTCCTTTAGTAACGTGTGGCGGTTCTTTTTTCCATGAATCCAACAGAAACGAACAAGCACCATTTTATTACGTTTCTTGATGCATGGAAGATTATTTATTTAGTACAGCTAGATCGATTACTAGTGAATAATTGCAGGTGGTTTGTCTGACGTCATCGAACTTATTTTGAGAATCTCCTACAGCGGCGCATGTATTATTGTACATTTACCTTCATTTTTCGATAAGTAGGGTACTGCTGTCGATAATATTGTCGTTTTAGATGTTGTCATACACTAATTTTTCACTCTGACGTGAATTGTTATTTTACTCTACAGTCCCCTTAACAGTGGACCCCTGTGTACGTGTGACAATATTTGTAACTTCAATTCTACATGTTACTTCAATAGATGGCGTTACGCGCCGTTACCAGAGCAGGAAAAAGGAAATGGGGCGGCCGTACGGCGGAATGCCCGCGAAATGGTCGCCGGCGCACCTCAGATCCCCACAGTGTATACCATTAAATACGCTGCCGAAATTACAGCAGATTTTCACAAGTTGATATACGAGTGGAACGTCCTTGTATACGTTGAGCTTTCTGAACTTTGGTTGTTATAGCGCAGCTCCGTGCAACAAACACTGTACTTGGAGAATATCAAATACAATACAAGATAACTGTGACATTTTAAAACATTTTTTTTGCAATACCTATTAAAGGCGTATGTAGCTCTCTGTTATTAACAATGCTTACGCTACCTTGTGCTTGTCAACATTGCCAGTAAGCTCATTTGAGATGTTTCTTTCGGCATGCAGTGCATTCCCGGTTGGACGGTGGGCCAGTGTGTTTCGCCACCTACGACCTGCGCACCATCGACGTTGGAGTGTTCCGGCGGCAATTTCCTGCAGGTTGGTTATTACGATCATTTTTAAAGCCAAGCATTTCTTAGCAAACTTCGATGACTTCGAGCATATCTATCTATCTATCTATCTATCTATCTATCTATCTATCTATCTATCTATCTATCTATCTATCTATCTAGCTATCTAGCTATCTAGCTATCTATCTAGCTATCTAGCTATCTATCTATCTATCTATCCGCCGACGACTTTTAGCTCTCCTGGCCGTTTCGATAATTGTATCGATACCGAAATTAGTATGTCATAACATGACTCTAGGACAAGCGTAAGTGACTAGTAATAACCTGAAAACCATGACGTGCATGTCATGAATGCGATGATTTAGATGTTATGGTTTTGCTGCTCTTGCGGTGGTTTCATTCACATGACATGTTGCAAAACTGGTATTGTATGACGTGACTGCATGGCGAACATAAGTGACAGACCACAATATGAAAACGCCAACATGCATGTCACGTAAGTCATGACTACACGCCACGCTCATGATGCACTCGCGGCCGTTTCGCTAGCTTCACATATACCAAATTTGGTATTACGTGACGTGAATGAACGACAAAGGTAAATGACACGTCCAAACATGATAATCAAGACATGCGTGCCATGTAAAACATGACTACATTCTACGCTCATAGCGTGCACTCGCGGCTTCATATATACCAAATTTGGTATTACGTGACGTGAATGAACGACAAAGGTAAATGACACGTCCAAACATGATAATCAAGACATGCGTGCCATGTAAAACATGACTACATTCTACGCTCATAGCGTGCACTCGCGGCTTCGTATATACCAAATTTGGTATTACGTGACGTGAATGAACGACAAAGGTAAATGACACGTCCAAACATGATAATCAAGACATGCGTGCCATGTAAAACATGACTACATTCTACGCTCATAGCGTGCACTCGCGGCTTCATATATACCAAATTAGGTATCACGTGACGCGAATCGACGACGAAGATAAATGGTACGTCCAAAGATGATAATCATAACATGGAAGTCATGTACGGCATAATTTACGACCACCTCGTATGGTTAAGCTGATTTCAAAGTGACATATGAACCTTCCCCGTTCGTGCTCCGCCTGTCTTCGATTCCCTCTGTACGTGTGATCTGGCTATTTTTTACGCTTATTAAATGCGAATTCACGGGCGAAACGCTATTCTGCATTGAAGTAAATATACCGCCGATATACCTGTTTTAAGTGCATTGGCTACTTTCAAAACTTCTTTCGCATTCTTCAAAGTGCTCTGGAAAAAAATAATTGGGGGACCCCGAAGCTTCGTCTTTAACTTCAAAACGTGACAGCGATACCCTGTCCTTGATACGTACTTCAGTCACTTAGTATATACTTTTTCTTCCATGATGTTTGTCGGAAACTGTGGATTACTGGAATGTATTTGATAAAACTGAAAGTGGCTTGTGTCGGTGAAGCTTTTGCATTATATGACTGCGTTTTGTGTAAGGTGTATCGGGCTTTAAACGACGATCAGTTATGCACATGAAATGTTTTCAACTTGGAGCGGCCCGCTGCTCTACCTCCTTGAGGTAGCGTTCCTCAAGACCTCAATAAAGTTCTGCGTCTGTCTGTCTGTATGTCTGCTATAAACCCAGTACGTGTTCTTGGGGGAATACGCGCAGTAACGTGTGTGCGTTTTGTAATGGTTGGCCGGCTTCAAACCATGAACGCGTTATGATAATCGCAAGTTCTGACGCCTGATGGAAATGTTTTCTTGTACCAGGCAATATTACTGCGATATTACATTTTGTTGTGCAAAGGCTGTAAAGAGAATGGTGCGTGTTTGTAAAGAATGAACGTTATTTTCATTGCATTTTCATGCAAGGCCAAGTTATGTTGATACAAGTCATCATTAACACCAACGAATGCACCATAAAGGCGACGAACATGACGATTTAACAAAAGCTCGTATTGTTGTTGCCACTGCACCATCTTGGTTCAAGGAAACTGTGTACACCGTGTACAATCTGTGAATATATTTCTGCCCTCTGTCTACTCTCACCCCGTGATATTTTGGTAGAGGTGTGGGGTAACAAGACGGAGCTACGCAGCGGCCGACGCTTGGTTTCTTTAACGATGGCACAAGAGGGTCCGGCTCCAGCTCCCGCAGCGGCCACCGCTACGACGACAGTTGTTCTGCCCCAGCTGAAAGACCCTGGCACGTTCTGCGGAAACGGACAATGTCGACATTGAAGAATGGTTGCGGCTGTATGAGCGAACAAGCAGTAATTATCGCTGGGATGAAACGCTCATGCTGGCGAACATCCCACCTGAAGGGGACAGCCAAAGTGTGGTTTGAGAACCACGAAGCGGAAATTGGCAGCTGGGATGCGTGCAAAGAAAATATGCGTGCACTGTTCGGCAAATAAACTGGCAGGAAGACAGCGGCCAAGAAGGAGCTGGCATCTCGCGCTCAGACGTCATCAGAGTCGTACCTGTCTTACATACAGGACGTGCTCGCCCTTTGCCGCAAAGCAGACGATGGCATGGAGGAGTCCGAGATGGTAGCGCACACTTTAACAGGCATTGCCGATGACGCGTTCAGTTTACTAATTTGCAAGGACTGTGACACAGTTGGTGCCATTATCCGAGAGTGCCAGTGTTTTGTGGCCGCCAAAAGCCGACGTATTTCACATAAGTTCGCTCGACTTCCCAACACCGCAGCAACATGGTCGTGCGATGACATGCCTGTACTACAGGCACCGCTGACTGCAGAGCACGTCACGAAGATCACCCGTCGAGAACTTGAAGCTATGTCTCCCGCTTCAACTTTCTCTCGTGCTTGTGAGTCCAGCTCCCAAATGGTGCCCTAAGTGCATGCCATCGTTCAAGAGCTTTCGAACGTTGGCCTGGAATCTCTGTGCACCGTCGCCCCCTCCCGACCGACTGACAATCATCCGCCAGTTTTCTACGCCCAAGGCCAAAGGCTCTCAGCGCGCTCTCGCAATCCCGCTGAGTGGAGGACTGCTGATGACAGACCTATTTGCTTTAACTGCCATCGTGTTAGCCCCGTGGCCCGCTATTGCAATAGCAGGTGATATTGGCGCCAGCCTTCCCATGGCTACAACCGTCGCGCAGAGGCAGATGATGGCCACTTCGGAACTCGCCACGAGTCTCGCCTTATGATGGTTCGTCGACGGTGCATTGTCGGTCACCATCCCCTCCCGGCCACCAGTCCCGCTCAGCGCTGTCTCGTCGCCCATCGTCACACTCACCCCAATTTCACCGTCCTCCTTCGCTGACTGCACATCTGGCTCGGGAAAACTAGACGATGCAGCTCCCAAAGGGGATGCTGCATCGACGATTCGCCAGCCAAATCCAGGCAGGCAGGCAGGGCAGGGCAGGGCAGGGCAGGGCAGGGCAGGGCAGGGCAGGGCAGGGGCAGGGGCAGGGGCAGGGGCAGGGGCTTGGCTTGGCTTGGCTTGGCTTGGGCTCCCGCATGGTGTTTTCGTAAAGTGCTTCCAAATGTACGCATGTAATACACGTAATAGAGGGTTGCGGCGCCCAAAAGCCGATGCGAGTTGCAAGCTTGCGAATGTCCCTTCTCTCAAGGCAGAGGAGGAGTTCGCTAACACGGTATGTCACAAGTTGCCAACGTTTCTGCAAGAAGCTTGGCCTTCATCGAGGCGGCAATGACCTCAACAACGAAATAGTCATCATCTTGATATACAAGAGTGCTCAATTTTTTTTCAAACTAAAAGAAAGTAACCATGTACTACGTGTCTTTTATGGGCGTGTTTGGCTCGTGCTGCTTTTTAAGTATTAGTATATATCAAAAATGAACCAGTCCATTGTGAGAAACAAAAAGTACAAATTGTTTTAGAAGTAAAAATGCATATTGTTTTTCAACACAACGCATTCCAGATGATAGAGTTGACCTGCACTTTTCATTTTATGTATGTACTGCATGAAAACATGAAAATGCAACATTCTTGCGGAAAAACTGACCAACGTATGCATGATATTGAGATGCTTGGATAATCATATATCAGTATGTCATTTATGGCATTGTTTGTCAATGATAACTTGGACATTTATCATATTTCTTCTGCTGGTAGTTACTACGCTGCGCACAGACTAGGTCGTCGCGATAACTTGATATTTTGTCTTTTCGCAGACTCGGACTCGTCATTCTCTTTGTCGACAGAGTAAGCACCATCTTTGATTTTTACTTTTTCTGGCGCTCGTAGTAAAGATTCGTATTAGGATAGGCAAGGTTGTACAGTGCAGCTAAAAACACAAAATGATGAATGCCAGCAAAAAGGCAGGGGAAACTATGGGGCGCACAAAACAAGAAGTGAAAAAAGGTTCGGGACTACGCAGCCTGTGATAGACTGAAAAATTATAGAAGTTACATTAGCAGATCGCAGTACCGCGACAACATTAGCAGGTTGAAAGCGTTTACAGTGCGAGTGTCAACGTGCTTGAGGAAAAGCGTAACGAAAAAAATGGCACGAGTGCTGCCGTTTGAGTCAGCAGAGTATATTTTACTCATAAATTGCAAGAGAAACGGACCAAGGCAGGCCATGCACTGATGTTACCACGCGACAGTAATAGCTGGGTACTTCGATCATGTGACAGAAATACGGATGAAGAAACGATAGAATGGACGTGGCATAAACCGCATATCTTAGAAGTAAATAAAGTTATTATTATTATTTTGCGTTCACGCCAGCTGTACGTGGTTGAGGGGAGGGGGGGGGCGTTCGGAATACGTCATAAGTCGCAAAAGGCAGTCCACACGAGCTTCGCTTGAATAAAAAGTGGTTCATCCCTCGGGGTTGGTATAACACGCGAAACGGAAACCCGTCTCCACAGAAGTAGTTCAGTGCTTATTGCACACTGATATATATCTCTTGGTATTTAATGACTACAGCACTTTTACTTGTCGATGCATTCATGTTCACACCTGGTGACACATCTCCTCCACCATGACAACCTATGACACGCGACCGGGATACAC